CAAAGTCAACACATGTATTGGCATTTAGGCGGCGGGGCTAGCATTCATTTGAACAGGAGTTCTTGCTTCGCTAGGTGTTATTCCTTCCCTCTCTTCTCCCCGGAATAATTTTGGCAGTTAAATACTTATCCAAGGCAGCTGACAGTTTGTCTAACCCAGCGTTCAAGCTGCTTTCTGACACATTGGTGCATATTGGCTCATAACTAACATTTGCCTAATTAAACAAGCTATGGCCTTTTAAAATGTGTGTGGGGAGTATTGTTTTTGTTTGTTACAATGGTATATATTTTTGTGTTTTTCTTTTGCAAACCATCCAGTGATCCTCGGATGAAGGGCAGTATAGAAATTTGAACAAAAACATTTGTTTAGCACTTGCCTGCAAGCTTGAGAATTTGCTTTTTTATATATGTGAGGTCAGAATGGCTATTGCCTCTCTGCTAATACGTCGGCTTCTTACTTGCCATTGACTAGTCTGCTGTGATGTCATAGAATGTTCTCAAACATTCTAATGTGAGTGGGCATTCTAATTCTTGGGCATTCTCAATATGGAAATGGTCTATTGTCCTCTGAGAAATCTCAGCTTAGTGACATTTCTTTAGAATATGCCCAACTTCTTCCTGCCTATACCTACCTAGCCCACCCTCCTTGGGAATTCCTTTTCCTGTCCTTATGCTTCTTACATGTTCTTTTTACTTTTGAAGACTGCCAGGAACAAAATGATGTCACTTTCTGCTAGTTATTTTTGAGTGCCTGTAACAAAGTAGGTTCTTTTCTGTTACCTCATTGTGTTGTGTACAATCAAATTAGAAACCAAATTGTCAAGAGTTGTTGACATAGTGCCTTTCATCAGAGAGATTGCTCATATTTAGGCATTTGTACCCAAGAATTACAGCTCTGTATTGATGCATTATGAAATTTGCAACTTTTATGTAAATAAGTGTTGGAATTGTATCTATGTTTTAAAATAATCCATAAAATAGATGGGTGGTTTTGGGTTTGTAAGAGGATCGGTTTTCCATTTAAAAAATATTGATGCTTTTTCATAATACAATACAATAAAAAACAAATTAATCTAAATGAAAAAGAAAGGGGAGGGAAGAAAAGAAAAGAAAAGAAAAGAAAAGGCAAAGGGCTCTCTGAAAGGTAGATCTTAACCCTTGTCTCACACAGAAAGGGGTGAACTCTCCCAGCTCACCCAGGCACTTCCCTTTCTTCTCCCAGCCTCCCACCCTGGGAGCTGTTGTAAGTGGATCTGTTTTCACCTCTCAGCTTGGATGCGATGCTTAAGTCAAAGTGGGACTTACAAGTGTTTTATCCAGCTAAGTTCTTCTCTGGGTAGACTCACTGGAATTAACAGACATTACTAACTTAGGTCCATTAGTTTAAATAAGTCTGCATTGAACAGAACTTGGTTGGCTGCAATGGTTAAATGGTTTTGGTTTTTTAATGGAGTGCTTAAATGGTTAACCTCCCACCTGAATTTAATACCTAACCATTTCCTAAAGTCTGTGTGTCTAGACCAGCATGCAATTTTAAATTGGTACTTTCTGACTTCTGTACAAATCTTGGCAAATGGAATGGGGACAAAAGGGTTTTTGGTAGACATAGAATAATAAGTACAAACAAAACAAAGCCCAGTTCCCAATATTTTAACGTATCCGGAAAGTAAAACTCAGGGGAAAGAGATGCAGATTGGAACTCTCACACTTCTCTGGGGCAAAGTAAACTGACTGTGACACAGCTGAGGAGACTAATCCTGAATTGAGTGCTGGGATCAAAAGAAACAGAAAACATGTCTAACCTCCACTGCAGTGATTTTTCTGTATGTACCCCTTTCTTTTCTCAGTAGGAATGAATGGTCATCATCCATGAATGGACTAAAATAAAAAGGATACTTGGGGATGGAGTTGCAGTGGGGTTTAAAACAAATCAACATCCCTAGCAGCAGGTGGCCAGGCCTTCGCTGGCAAACTATGTGTGTAATATATGTTTGTTGTGCACGTGAATACATCCTTCGTCCCCATCATACATATAAGAGACATTTTGCTAGTCTAAAATATGTTGTGGTACTGCACAGTGGTGGGAACTCTCTCCTTATATTATCAAAAAAAGTCTTTCCTGTCTTTTCTCACATCTTTATAATAAGAGTTCAGTGCATCAGAGAGTATTTCTCCAGCAACTTTAGCTGCATAAATAAACAAATAAGCAAGTTATTCATCTGATGAGTTTTATCTGCTTAGCTATCCATTTTAGCAGTTTGCAAATCTTAATTGACTAAAGACATCTGATTGGCTAGCAGAAGGTTAACAGGATGTTGCACCACTTTCTAATAATCTCTAGCTGTTCTGATAGGTATTGTTTTGGATTGTATCTGTGCCATAATAAATGGGGATGGACCAACAGAGATATGGGTTTATAAAAGTGTTTCATTAGTGGAAAAACATGCATAATAGCTGTCTGCATATCCCTTTTGGATGGAGAATTCAGTTCTAGCTATCAGTCTGGCTCATTTTAATACTGGAAAGTAGAAATAAATGTCACACATATGTTAGTACTTACAAACCTAATCAGAGAGTGGATGAACTTACACAATAAAGTATTTGCTATTTGTAATGAATATCATCTTTGTATTTCAGGCAAAGTCGTGCATCTGTCATATGTGTGGTGCCCATCTGAACAGACTTCATTCTTGCCTGTACTGTGTTTTCTTTGGCTGTTTTACAAAGAAACACATCCACGAGCACGCAAAGGCAAAGCGACACAACTTAGGTAAGCAATCTTTTTAGACTCCTGCAATAGCATTGCTTGTTTACTAATGCATGATTTTTACAATGTGGAAAATACTACATTTAGATCAGAACCCAGACAACTTGATTCTTCCAGTTATAGAGGATATTTCATATAGAGGTTTTTCTGGCTGATATGACTGGCACCTCTGTCGAAGCCCTAGCCAACCTCTGGAACACCCGAATGGCTTGGGCTATTGACACAATCGCCCCTGAGCACCCGCTCCCACTTCATGGAGCCCGTTTGGCCCCCTGGTATACTCCAGAGCTTAGGGCTGGGAGACAGATTGAATGCAAGTGGAAGAAAGATCCGAATGAATGCAACTGAACTCTGGTAAGTGCTCTTTATCGAGCCTACCTAGTGGCAGTGAAGGCCGCAAAGAAGGCATACTTTGCTGTCTCTACTGCATCTTCATTATGTAGTCTGGCAGAGCTTTTCTGGGTTGTATGGAGCCTTTTACAGGCTAGCCCAAAGGAGGTGGTAGAACCAACTGTATCTCGCTGTGACTTGTTTGCAAAGCATTTTGAGGATAAAATCGCTTGCATCCCACCAAGAACTTGAGGATGTGGACAAGGTGCTTGGATCAGTCAGGGCGACCACTTGTGCTGAAGATCCTTTCCACTCTTGGCTGATAAAAACCAGCATGGACGGAACAGTTGGCTGGACCAGAGAGGTGATCAATGCCTCTTTTCAAGAGGGGGTGATCCCTGCCTGTTTAAAAGAGGCAGTGGTAAAACCACTCGTTAAGAAACCTTCCCTGGATTTGGAAAACCTAACTAACTACCAGCCAGTTGCTAATCTCCCTTTCTTGAGCAAAGTTCTGGAGTGAGTGGTTGCAGACCAGATCCAGGCGCTTTTGGAAGAAATAGATTTTCTGGATCTGTTTCAGCAGGGGTTTAGGCCCAGTTTTGGCACAGAAACGTCTTTGGTCGCTCTGTATGATGACCCCTGCCTAGAGAGAGACAAGGAAATGTGTCCCTGTTAATTCTTCTTGACCTCTCAGCGGCTTTCGATACCCTCGACTACGGTATTCTGCTGGAGTGACTGTCCGAACTAGGGGTGGGTGGCACCACTTTGCAGTGGTTCCAATCCTACTTGGATGGTCATTTCCAGAGGGTGTTGCTTAGGGAATGCTTAACAACAACAACAACAACAACAACCACCCACTCATTTTTTCTGGTAATTTGCAGTCTGAAGTTACCCTATAATTATGGCCTTGATTAATTGAGACTAGGTAGCTAAAAATAAATAGGTCAAACACACACACACACAGAGAGAGAGAGAGAGAGAGAGAGAGAGAGAGAGAGAGAAAACTAACTACTTTCTAGTTAGTGGAAAGGAGAGTGGTATTTATGTTTTCCATTTTATTATGATTCAAAGCTCATTTGTAATCATGAAAGATGTTGGTGTACCTGAGTGTTACAGTTACAAAGCTGATCTCTTGATTTTAACAGAAAATGCCAGACACTTAATTCCATTGCATCTTGATATCTTTTAAATTTTAGAATTTCCTGCCTAAAATCAAATGGTCTTTGGTGGTTTATCCTGGAAAACCTTCATTTTTAAAATGCTTAAATCCCTTTTATTTATAAAGAAGTAAACATGTTCTCAGTTCACCTAGCAGGACCTCCAGTTAGGCCTGCATTAATGTATGAGCTCTGTATTTGTGACTTGGATAGACAACCTCCTTGAAGGTGTTTTTGAGTGTTTTTAAAAATGAATTTTGATTGTCATGTATTTACTTCGTTAGTTAAAAACTTTCCATCTACTGCCTCACCTTCCCAGACTTGTCAGATGCTCAGCCTGGTAGGAGTCAGCAAACAGTATGTCATATTATCTTATCAATGTCTATGCAAATGCCCTATTATTTAAATAAATTATATATAGTACTTCTTACTCTTACTATACATCTTGAAAAGGCTTAGCTGAAACCAGAAAGCTTGAATTACCTGTTCACTTAATTATCAATGCATAAAGTCAGACATTTTGCCCACATTTTGTGCATGGTTTCATGCATGCCGTATCCTTTCTAAAGTACATTAGTTTTCAAACTTTTGATACTGAAGGAACTCCTAGTGATCCAGGCACCAACTGAGATATTCTCAAGGACAAATTACAGTATCCAAATTAGCTGGGACCAATTGCTTGGTTGCAGTCCTCTGTCTTGAGACCCCTAAGAGCTACTGCCAGTTAGAGAATACAGGAAAATATTGGGAAAGGACCATAGCTCAGCAGTAGAGGATTTGCTTTGCACGCAGAAGGTCCTTGGTTCAGTTCCTGGCTTCTCCAGGGAGTATTGGGAGAGGCCCTGTCAGAAACCCTGAAGAGCTGCTACCAGCCAGTACTGAACTAGATGGACTTAAGGGTCTGACTTGGTATAAGGCAGCTTCTTACATTCTACATACTGGTCTAGAAAGAGCATGATCAGATCCAGTATAACGGGAGCTTCACATATATCAAATGCAGTCAACTTGTAGTGGCTTGGAAAATAGCATGTGAGCTGTCACAATGAAACCATAATAGGAGGGCCAGAATTCTTAAAGGTTATGTGTGTGTTTCTTTTCACCAGCTAAGGAGTTTTTTCAGTTGCAGGAATTAGGAGCAGGCAGACCAGAGTGCACCTGCCTGCTTTGGGAATGCTCGGGGAAGGGGTTCCCAGTGTTGCGTCATGATTCTTATTGTTTACAGCGCTGCTGTTACCTTAAATGGGATCTTGCAGGCCCATTGGCCAGTGGCTCACCACCTTGACCTATACTCTGAGGGTAACGTGGGTTTCAGTATGAGAAAAATGAGGCTATTGCACGATCAGAGAAATCTTACTTGAATAAGTTTAAGTTCATTTTAAATTAGCATAAATTTACATATCATTAACATAAGTTTTGAAGAAAGGAAGCATACTTTTTAAAAAGATATTGTATATCACAGCAGGCATACATCTTGGAAAAGGCATTCCTTGTGTGAGAGTGAGGGGTGAGTGCCTCTTAAGATGGTCCTTGCCACCTACAGGTTTTTTTTAAAGAAATACTTTTTTAAAATGTACAGTGGTGCCCCGCAAGACGAATGCCTCGCAAGACGGAAAACCCGCTAGACGAAAGGGTTTTCTGTTTTGGAGGTGCTTCGCAAAATGAATTTCCTATGGGCTTGCTTCGCAAGACGAAAATGTCTTGCGAGTTCCTGCGAGGGTTTTTTCCTCCCCCCCCCCTTTTCCCAAGCCGCTAAGCCGCTTATCAGCTGATCCGCTAAGCCGCTTAACAGCTGATCCGTTAAGCCACTAAGCCGCTTATCAGCTGATCCACTAAGCCCGCTAAGCCGCTAATAGCGCTAATCCGCTAAACCGCTAATGGGCTTGCTTCGCAAGATGAAAAAACCGCAAGACGAAGAGACTCGCGGAACGGATTCTTTTCGTCTTGCGAGGCACCACTGTAATGATTATTATTTAGTTGCTTGACAAATTGGTGGTGCCAACATACAGCAGCAAAGTGTGGGGATGCTTAGATCTGCAACCAAGTAGAATAAGAGTGACATACCTGTAACGTTTTGGGAGGAGAGGATTATTGGAGGTAAAGGAAGCTATCCAATGGGAACTGGCCATTAGCTTAAGAAAAACCTTAAGAAAAATGGGAGAGAATGAGAGATAAAGTGTGTGGTCTAATTAACTGCTACAATTAATTGCCTGGGATCTACCGTATATGGTAGTAATATGGTTTAAATCTTTTATGCTTAAATTTAGAGTGCATATAAGTCTTAAAACTTTAAAAATTCCTTCTGGCCAAGGTTACAAGCGGGGAAACTCTTTTAATGTGTGCTAGCCCTGAAATGTCAGATGAAAATATTCTTAACAGCAGTGCCTGAAACAGCACCGTTGGAATGCCATTTGATCACCCCCAAAAAAACATGTTACATGCATACACATCTCAAAATGAACTGAAATTATTTTTGAAGCACTTAGTGACTTTGCTGAGCTTACATCAGTCTCCATGGAGACGAGCAGAACTTGAAGCTCCAGATAACAAATTGTGAAGCTTTAGCAGAAGCAGCTACATATATGCTGCAGAATGATGTATTTGCATGTACTAGGGGTGAAATCCACCCACAGTGTGTAACCCCTGAGCTTGAGGACAAGTTTCCCTTCTCATTCAGTATTATGCATCTCACTACTTTTCTCCAAAACGGAGATATAGTTAGAACACTCTAACACCTTGATTTCCATGGCCTTTAAAAGCAACCTAAATTTGTCCTGTGTGTATAAGTCAGTACGGAGGTGCATATAGGAAGAACTGTGCCAAAGCATCTGTTACTGTTCCTCCTGGGCAGAAAGAACTTGGAGCCGTTTGCTGGTACATATGCTTTGTAGGAGGTGAGTTGGTGGGTGGAGCTAGTCCACCCCCAAGCCCTTGATCAGTTCAAAATATGACTCTTGATTGAAAAAAGAATGCAAGTTGCTGACAAGGTAATTATAGGCTTCTGTATTCTACAGTGAGACCCCAGCCTGTGGCAGTCCTCTTCTTTGTGAGTCTCATTTTGTAGCCCTTGGCATGCAGGACCACACTGCTATATTAATTCCTTGGATTTTCAAAGGCATAGCAGATAGACGCAAGATCTTTGTTTTCTGAGAAGGAATGCATGTTTGATAGGACTGAAAAGATGGTCTCCACTCCAGCCATCTGCTACTTCTTCAGTGGTGGTGGACAACTCGAGTGCTCCTTGAGCCAGGTTTACTCTGTACCGGATTTGCTATGCAGAAAATATCATAAATTAGGATCAAATTCGAGTATGGAATCCTCATGCTTTGCATGCAGAAGGTCTCTAATTCAGTCCCTGCTATCTCCAGAATAGCAAGTGGTGTGAGAGGCTTCTCTCCAAGACCCTGGAGAACTGTTGGGCTACGTTGAAAAACGGAATAGAATAGCTTTCGACTCAAGAGTTAGAAACAATAGAACTGGCTCCTGTTAGTTTCAGCTCCATAGTAATTGTCCTATGAACTGCCCATAATGGCTAAATGGGATAAGAGACAACAAAAACTAATAACAGGGTATTTTACTTTGAATGTAGTCAAGGTGAATTAGTCATTAAAAATAACCAACTGAGATGAAATTCTGCAGGAGGTTCATGTTTTCTTTCTCTTCCTTTTTCTCTACATAGACTGCAAAGTGCCGCAAGACCTATATAAGAGCTGCTGCCAAGATGCATGTTGTTTTTGTAAATACAGTGATTTGTGCATCTGTGCTTAATTTCTGAGCCATAGTTAGATCAATTCTATTGTATGGGAGGGTGAAAGTGGATATTCCAGTGTAGTTAACATACACATTTGTAAATAAGCAAATAATGAGTTTCTGGGTGCATCTGGAACCATAGATGGCTGAGAGAAGCAGAAATCGTAAATTAGTTCAACTTTTTTTGGGGGGGGTACTATGTTACATTTTCCAGAGGAAATGAAAGTCTGCAGCAATCAGTATTATGGACAAGGCAGTACTGTGATCTTTAAACACCTCCAGTTTCTTTCTGTGGAGATTGACACCGCAGACCTCTTCTTTTTCAAATACCTTTTAATCAGGTTTGTATTGCTTACTTGGAAAGAGTTGGTTCTGATGTAGGTGACCCTCCCCCCAAAGAAGTGCACTGACTTCAAGGAATTTGAAGCACTTTAGGCATCCATTTGTTAACCTGTGGACTCTTGATCACAAAGGAATGCCTTTCTCCAGGTCCCTTGGTAGCTACCTGTCTGATCCCAGAAGACCGGTCACAGATACGTTTCTTATGTACCTCTTTGCCTCTGCATGCCTGGTAGGACTTAGTCACTTGCCATCTTTCACAGGATGGCTTTAAATCTTTCTGTTCAGACTGATGAATTGTTGCTGCTGTTTCTGATTCATTCTTGGTGGAACAACTGCTGGGGTTATAACTGGGGTTATAAATGGTTAGGTACATTTTTCTGGGGGAGGGACCATGGCAGACGGAAGGTTTTTTGTTGGCTCCCAATGGAGATAGCAGCATGGTGTTTGATGATAGCCAGATACAAGTTTTGCTGTCAACTTTCACTTCCACAAAGAAGTTGAAATGAAGGGAATGCCCCTCTTGTTTGCTTGAAAATTTGCTCTTCGCACTTTAGAGAGACTGTTGGAGGGTTGTTTTCCTGTCCTGTGGGTTCAGTGCCTGGAAGCCACCATCTTACCCAAACCACCCTGCAGCCCTAATATGGGCACTGCGACTGCAAATGCATCACTTTCTTAATCATCTTTGGAACAGAATAACTTACAACCTAAAAGAGTTTCTGCGTCTGTTAGTGAGAATTGCCACCTGGTGAGTTAACTGCTTTCCATAATAAAAGAAGGAGAAGGAAAGAAAGCTACTGCTTATGGCATTGAGTAAAAGTGACAAAAAGCTGGATTTATGGTGTGAAATGAGAAAGTTTTAAATGGACAAGGGGAATCTCTGTGAAGCTTTAAGTGGATTATTTTCATTTTCATTTTTTATTTGAAGAAAGTGTGTTTAAGAAATTGAAAGTTAGTTTGCCAACTGACCCTATATCTATGGAAATGGAATTAACCTTGTGATGCTGCTGAAGTGATGGAAGCCATTAAGGGACAGAAGTCCTAATAACTTCAGTGAAGCAGGAAAATAGCCTCCCCATTCAGAATAAGAAAAAAATAAGAAAAAAAGGTAGAAGGGGGAAAAAGAGGTAGAAAATAGGAGATCTTCAGGGTCCTTGCTTACTGTGGATGTTCTTAAGCAGATGATGACAGAGCAAACAATGTCTCTCAATGAAACAATATAGGCTTGGGGGGGGAATAGATAAAAAATTGACAAGACTAAAAGAACAGTCAATGAAGTAAGGAATGAAATTAAACCAGAGATGAATGAAATGGAAAATGGAATCAGATATGACATAGAGGCTTTAGATCACAAGGAACTGGCAGGACTGAGAGCTGAAACTATGGCAAAACTAGAAGGGACAACTGATGAAACTGAAGAACCCACTATGCATAACTATGAAGTTATGGATGGAGAAAGATCTGGATAATCTGACATTGATGGAATTGAGAGAGAGAAAGAGTTCCATCTACAATTTAGAGTAATCCCAGAGGATAAAGCTATTAAATCTCTGGGGGGGGGGGGATTTTAGAAAAAGAATGGAAGGACCACAAATGGAACAGTCATTAATAGATAACATGGGGAAAGCATGGCAGACATAACAGGAGATGGGAACTGAAGATACAAAACTGGGTGTAAACCAATGGATACAAAAGAATTATGCAATATTATCTCAACATTTGATCATAGTGGAGAGA